CTTTCAATTAAAATAAAGTTCCAAATCAAGATATTTCACTTTGGGCTTCGTCTATATGTACATAAACTCCCCTAGTTGATGCATTCTTCAAAATGATAAAAGATAGTGTTAAGTGCACATCTTATACACTAGGTGCAAGGTGTTCCTCCTGCAGGGCTGCCACCTGGGGTTTTCTTCAGGCATTTACACAGCACTACTCTCTCAACTCAGCATCTGATTCTGAGACTTGCTTTGGGAACCATCATCATCATGGCAAATCCCAAAGGAACATGGTCTCCTAGCAGACTGAGCACCTCCCAGATTGATCTCTAGATGGGTTCTTAAGGTAGTCTGGCTGAATACTCAGTTTGTCCATCCCTGGAAATCTTATCGCACCTCTGAAGTTTTTGGCGACCACCTGATCGCCAGCTGTGTAGCAGCATTCCTTGGTAAAGATGCTTCAGAATTTGTTGGACTTTCATCCTAATAACATGTCCATGCCAAGAAAGCTGCCTAAGCTGAACTAGTGCTGATGGAGGCAATTGCTGTGTTTGGCTTAGAATATCCTCATTTCTGATCTTGTCCTGACACTTAATGTGGAGCAGCTGGCAAACACAATAAGAATTGAAAATGTCAGTCCAGTGCTCTTCAGACTTGGTCAGTGCCATGTTTTGCTGCTATGCAACAAAGTTGATATAACCAAGGGTTCTATTGATATGCAGCTTTGAAGCAAGCTTTGATGTTGTGGCATCTCCACAGAGGCTGCCGAAGGGCCCAAAATATGGCAGCAGCTGCTGCTATACAGGTGTCTACATCTCTTGAGCATCCTCCATTACTGTCTATGATGCTGTCCAAGTCTTCAACAGTTGCCACTTTCCCAATGTCCTGCCCGGACAGGTTAATACTGAGCTGGTTATAATCTGGAGCTAGAGGCTGCATCATAGTGATGGTCAGGGTCTTTGTTTTAGCCTGCTTAATAATCAGACCAATGTGTGCTGCTTCTTGCCTGACAAGATTGACCTGTGAGTGCAGCGATTCACCAAATTGAGTCAACAAGAAATGTCATTGGCTTATTCAAGATCTCAAAACAGAATAGTGCTCAGCTCAGCAGCATCGACAGCTGCCTCTTCAAGCTTATCCATCACCCAGTCGATGCTAATATTGAAAACAATGGTGGCAGAACTCCTGTGGAGGTAGGAAACCACGCTGTGTATCTGCCATTGACTGGACCACAAGAAGAAAATTATGGTTACTTGTCATAACTGTACTCTTCAAGAGTTTTGTATCAGCATTTTCACACTGCCTGCCCATCTTCCCCATTGCCTATAAGTACTAATCTCACAGCATTCTTGGTTTACCAGGAGGAATTGAGGTAGTTGGGGGTCCCTTTATAACCTGAGCTCTGAATATTTATGAAGCTGAGCATTGCTGAGTTGGGGACACATTCCTCTCTAGTGTGACTATGCAGACATAGTGCTGTTGAAGAATCACAATAAAAGGTAAGTAGCCATTTTATCATCCTAGCTTTGTAACGGAACATTTTTACACCTGTTTGCCTGGTTATCTCTAAAATCTTCTCAGTGTTGTGTTTAATGTACAGCAAATCTAAACAGTATTTTTTGTTGAGAAGGAATGATAGTACATCTTCTCAAGGTGGGAGGTTTTTAATATATCTCAATCAATGGTTTGCACACACTCTCAGGCGCATGCAGGCGTGCGCAATTTGAGAGCTGTAACAAAAGGAATACAAGAAATTTTCAAGCACTTGGGTTATATGTGTTTGTACAGGACTGGCCAAGAGAATAGATTTCAAAGTTGACTTTATTACAGAAGGCTTGTTTTCTCCCTTCTGATTCTAATTTGAAAGACATGTTTTTAACAGCACTTTCTTTAAATTTCTTAAATAAGCTGAAAGTAAAAATATTTTCTCTATTTTTAGATATGTGCAATTTCATGACTTTCCTTTCACCACATGATTTAGCATGTTATACTCTTTATTTGCAAAATACAAACTGTAGTGCTTTTGTATTATGCTGTCAGTTGACTTTGAGTAAATTATGTGGTGACACAGTTATTACTTCTGCTGCTGTTGAAAAATCTAAAATCCGCCCTGGAAGCATTGTTGTGGGATTATTTGTTGGTTTTTTTTAATGGTTCTTGTGTTGCCATAAGCTTAGGCGCTAGCATTCTCACATTTGGGCCAGAAGGTGATGGTCTTAAACCTAGTACACTTCTACAGGTTAGCTACGGTATTACATGGAATTCCCTTCTGTCCATTTCTGGCGATTAACGCACTGAAACAAGAGAGTCCATTCCACTTCTCCGATGGTAAACTCAGTGTTCTGGTCCACCTTCCCTCTGTCAATAAGAGGTTTTAATATGTAAGGCTGTGTGCATACTATTTGTCAGCTCCTAATAATGACTATTGTGATTGAGTGCCTTATGTCTTTGAGTCGAGAGTACAGCTCGAACAGAAGTTTTGGGTTTGATGCAGAAATTACGGGGTGAGTTTCTAAGGTCTTTGTTATGCTGGAGATCAGGTGATCAAAAAGGTCCTTTATGTCTTAAAATCTAGGAATACTTGTGAGTAAAAGGCGCAGTATGAGATCAAATTCTGATATTTCTATTCCTGTTACTATTGCCAAACCTATACAAAGGCAAAAGCCTCTTCAGCACCAGTATTACCATGTTGTTATAGGGTTTGCTTTGCTAGTGAGTTGCTAGATCTCGTACATTCTTGTTAATGAAGTTTGTCTGCTTGTGGACCTTATTGTCATCAAGGCTGGATTTGCTAGGAAGTGGAAGTCATCACTTGGAGACTGTGTGTCAGATTTGCATCACTTACCCTTTGTTTGAGATTGCATTGTTCATTTAGGAGCTAATACTGAGTAGGGAATTCTTACAGTTTATCAGAGAATTGTCCCTTGAAGAGTGGTTCCACTATGAAAATGTCTGCAAAATATCTGCCTCCTCTGTGTACTCAGTCTTATTTACTTACTTTAATGACAAAAAATAGCTTTTGTTCTTATTAGCTGTATTGGTTTTACTGTTCTACATTGGAGTGAGCTGGCTTCTATTCAGATTAGGTAACAATTCTGTTGATATGTTAGATTCCACTTACAAAATAGTTTGTGAACAAGATAAAACCCAGCTTGATCTACCGATTCCAAACTTAGTTTGCAAGAAAAATCTATCTTTTTTCCACCTTGTTACTTATAAACTGAACAACTTGTCATAGAAATCATCGAGACACCATATGTATTGCTCCCACCAATGCCAGTCTTACAAAATCATATTTCTCTGAGAAATGGAAAGTTATAATATAGTTTCTTCTTAGGCCATAAGCTCTTATTATTGAGAAATAGAATAACCAATCCAGCTGGTATTTTTAGATTTGATATACAACCTTGCCACTCTGGTTACCTGAAGACAACTTGGTAACAGCAAGAATATACACTGGAAGAATGTGTGCCATTGCACCAAAAAAAATTAACTTTATTTTTTATCTGGTTAAGATCAAACAATGAATTGAATTCTCTTTGTGTGTTGACATCTGAAGATTTATATCTTCCAGCTATATTCCTGTTACAGAGCTGGCAGAAGTGACCTCTCCAGAGAAGGTCTTTGTTATGGATTTTGCTCTGTTTACATTATTGCCATGAGGGTCACAGTGAAGTACAGTACATTAAAGCTAATACATCACAAGCTGACAGTTGTCTTATCTCTTTGGTACCTCTTCCCTTTCCCAAATAAAGAAAAAAGCAAACACAAAGAACATGAGGTTCTGGAACAGAAAGTTAAATAATAGTTTCCAAAGTGCTTTGGTGTTAATGTCAGGTCCCTGTGTGCAACAAATTTTGCGTCTGGTCAAATGGCTGTGTCATGTCCTTTTCTGTGAGGTTGTTGCAAAAAAACTGCTTTTACTACATAAATATTCTCCCTCGTATAGCACGATTGCCAAAGCAGATAATGAAGAAGAGGCAAAGCTATTGGGTTTCTTCAAAGCCAGCCAGTTCATCATGGGCTGAGGAGGTGGCTCTGGATCAGAAAAAGTGAGAGTTTCAGGCCAGCTCTGCATAAGAGAGAGTACCTCTACTATACCTCCATGGAGCTCAGAAGCTCCAGAAAAATTCAGCTTCAAGTACTTTCTTGCAGAGTTTCGGTGATTCTTCACAACACTTTCCCTCCAGCTATTCCCCCTCATCCTCTGGCAAATGGCATTGGGGAAGCCAGAAGGCTTTTTCTGTTTCCAAGCAGGTTTTTGGGTATGCAAGCTCTAGTCTGCAGCGTCTGCACTGTCCCTTCAATTTGGAGAGTGCTGTGGGGGCCACATGAGTATGTCATGCCTCTCTCTCTGACTCATGAGGGTAGAGGAGATCTAGACTTGTGGGGCAAGAGGGCCAAGTGAGCCAGGCTCCAGCAGAATCAGTTTTCCTCCTCTCTGATCCCCTTCCACCCTGACCTGGCAGTCACTGAGCATATCTGAGTCACCAATGGACCATGTAAATTTGGGGAGGGAATGAACTGCTCAGGGAAGGCGAAGAAAATGAGGAATTAGGCACAACCACGAGATAAAAGGGGAGGTGCCTCACCAAATCCCTCAACAAGCCAAATAAGTTTGGGCAGGGGAGATTGCTGCTATATAATATAGACCTAATGTACCGTATAATACATGTGGCCTTAATTGCTGTACAGTATGTTAGCATTTGAGTTCTGAAAGATCCTTTCTGAAAGCAAATAATGATCATGGACTTCCCAGAGTATTAAACCAGAAAGTCATTGTAAACACGAAGGACGCTGTTCAGTAAGGAAAACACCTCAGATACAAAGTACTCAGAGAAACAGCAGAGTGCCTCACATTCTATATATAGAACAGAATCTCTCCTTTCAACTGCCAATTGGAATGCTGAGAATACTTCTTGTTCTTGTTTTCCATTTCAAGCAGAGACTCAAATATCATACAACTATTGTTTCAAATCCATAAAAATATATTTTGTTTCAAAATGTGACTCTCTCAATAGGGTGCAACACAATTATCTTTTGAAGATGGAGAAATGGATCTCACTGGGCACACTGAACAGCTGACATCTATGAAGGCCAAGTTCACTTTCAGGTATGAGCACCTTCTGTTTAATATTGATTCATGAATACGTTTGCCAGCATGCAGGACAAGAAGATTATTACATTTTTATTTCAAGTACATGTGCTCATCATCATAGTGCCTCCCTCCTTTTTTCCTTTTCCACCCTGAAAATTCACTTCACTCGCATACTTAAGCGCTTTTATGTATGTGAGTACCGTTTACCTTGGATGATGAACGTTTATGACTTTGACTTGTATTGTATGTTCTGACTGGTTGTGGGATATGGGGGAAGGAAGAAATATGCTGTTCTTTTATATGTTTGTATTTTGCTTTTTAAACAATTTCACAAGCAGCTTAAAGACTTAAGATAGGTGGAGTGCATGTATCTAAACAAATAAGCACTCCTCTGAGCCACAATATCCCACAAAAAGTAGATAATTTTCTTGGTTAAAATGTCATCTCTCTTTTTATTATTAAGGTTATTCCTTCAGTTGCTTTTTAAATTTTTATTATATTTGTAGATACACTCTTATAACCTGTAAAATGCTATATCCAGAGCATCCACTATACAGGATAGGCAAATTTGCATAGGCACCTTTTGTGAGACCTGTTCCTCTGGGACAATCGGATGAGTAACTCCTCTTTCTCCCTCAGTTATACTAGGCAGGAGATAACTGGTGCAGAAGTCTAACACTGTTGTTGTGATCTAAATTGTTGGTTAGTTATTCTGACTGCTTGGGAAAGACTGCTGAAAGGGTAAACCTAGGCCAAGTTTTGAGTGAAATAAAGATGATTTCCAATTTGGATTGGAAACCATGGAAGATTTGGTATAAACTAGGTGTTTCACTTTGAGTTTTTGGGTTTCTTCCAATCTGAAATTCTAAGCAAAACTCAGAATGTGAACCAAAACAAAAAATAACCTTTGGGTAAACCCAGTGAACCAAAGTAATCAAGTTTCAAGGTGGGTCAGATCCTCCACTGGTATAACTGGTGCCATGCTGCATTTCATTAAGGACTTAGTCTAGTGAGTTCAGAGCAAAATGATTCCATGCTAGTGTTCACCTGTCCTTATGCCAAGTTAAATCTTAATCTTGGGAAGTTATTCATATGAATCACATTGCTATGAAGTCACTTTTTAGAATGTGAAATAATCTGGTGTCCGTTAATATGCTTTGTCGTAGAAAACTAGTTATGACATTGCCTAACTGTGAAATAAAAGGTGTAATTTGGAAAACTAAACATGACAGCTAAGATATCATAATCAAACTAACAACTCAATTTTGGTGAAGGCAAATAATCCTTTCCTATAATTTTGCATTTTCTAGTCAGTTGTCAAAACTGTGTGAACTAAAAGCCCTGAGCAGTATGTATAAAACTCCATCCTCACATACAGCTTTGCTTTCATTTTGTTCTTCTCTTTTGCTCACTCCACTCCGTGCTATCTCACTCATCTTTGCCTTCCTTTAGTCTGCTCCTATGCTTGGAATCACCTACTATTTCTGTGTACTAAGCACCTTCCATTTTCTACTTTTAAATACCTCCTTAAAATCCACTTCTTTAATGTAAGCTTATTACACTGATTCGCTCTGAAATTGTCTCCAACTTCTTGTGACTAAATTGTTGTCCCGTGTTTCACACTTTAGCAGAGTTGGATAATAAGCTATTAGAAACAGTAAACTTGTTTTTTCTCCATGTTTGTTTTGTACATCTTCTGTACCATCTTATGGTGCTCTAAATCTAAATAAAGATTTCCCCATCCCTATCCTTCCTACAGCGTAGATGTATATTCATGTAGAAGACACAGGATGCCACAAGGATATTTAACCACTGTTTCACACTCTTTTTAGGACCCCTCTGGACATATGACAGTCTGTTCATGGAATACTTCTTCTTCCTTATTGAGCAGTCTTTGTTTTGAAATCTATTTTCTAATCACAGTATTGCTAACTTCTGTGATTTTTATCATGTCTAGCAATTTCGGGGTGTTTTTTAACCTCTCTCATGAAAACGTGATAAAAGGCTTCCAGTTCACAAATTTTCCCTTATTTAGAATGGCCACCATCTCCTATTACTGTCAATGGGGCTGAACTTGCAAGATAGCCACCAATCTCTCATGATTTTTGATCTCTTGAAATTTGGCTTACTGTAATCAGCACTGTCATGAGGATTTCTTATCTAATTTACCTGTCACACTTATATGGTCCCCATCACTCCAGTACCTGAGCCCGTCGCAATATTTAATGTGTTATTCGTACAACTCCCATGTGAAGTAAGGAAGCACTATTATCCCCATTTTACAGATGGGGAACTGAGACAGAGATGGTAAGGACTTGCTGAGATCACACAGGAAGTCTGTTGCCTCTCACAAGACCCAGGCTACAGCTCTTAACTACCAGATCATCTTTCCTTTTTGGGCACATCACCAATTCCTTTTGCCCTATCAATAAAGATGCTTCTTTGTTTCTTTCTCTTTCTTTCTCTGTTTTTGTCATTTCACTTTGTGTCTGGCTTTCTCCTCTTTTAAGGAACAGTGGAGAAGGCCATGGTCTTCAATCCATCTGTCTGATTTGTTTTGTTTGTTTAGCCTCCCTCTTTGGGACCCTGGTCATCATCTGGATGATATGGCAATTTCCAGTTTCTTTTTAAATCCTTTCTGACATCGGTCTGTTTGTAGAATGGTAACGTTGTTGTGAAGAGGTATCAAAGTTTTTTTTTTTTTTCCTAGCTTGCTATGCACCTGCCAGGTCTCCAAGCTATATGCTTGCTGATTAGCGTTCATCAGACATGTATTGAACCTAGTCAGCTTGGTTGCCAATGTTTTTTATAAAATTTAGTGAAAGGCTGCTACAGCCTGTTTCACCTGATGTAATTATTATGCATCGCCAAATCTATGCATTCATTTGTTTCTTTCATGTCTCTTGATCCCATTAATTTGTAATTGGGATTAATCAAGCCCTGCTCACGATATACTCATGATTATTGTTGTCCTTATCTTATGCTTGTACCCAGTGTGTTTTTGATAATGTCACTTCTTCCCTGATTCATATTGTTCTTGTTATTTGACATGTTTATCAAGATAACTAAGACCTTGCCTCTACTCAGGATTCTTCATAATTGTGTGCATCTCCAGCTATCAATCACTTGTCTTTTTGTATTATTGAGGTGCCTCCCAAGTAAATTAGACTTACAAGGTGAGGTCTCTAGTTCATGAAGTCTTCTGCACTTCTCTCTCACCCTAGTACAGAAGGCTATATTGTCTGTTTGCATTTAATCTCTGTATCCTGCACCTCATTCTGGTTGTGGTATGAAGACTTTCACAAAAATAGCAGGGTTTTATAGCATGCCCATAAACTGATCAAACTCTGAACTAGTCTGACTTTGTCTGGAAGCTCATTTCACAGCCATTGAATGAGAATAGTTGATCTCCAGATCTTATATGATTCATCTTGAGTTTTGTAAACTCTCTGGCGATTGATGGCTGGAGATATGCCATAGGAGATGTAGTTGGCTCTTGATCCATTGAAGACTTTGAACATTGAAATCAAAGCTTGAACAGGCCGGGGAAGCACATTAGGAGCCAATGGAGGGGCCAGAACAAAGCGATGATATGTTTTGTAGCATATTCTGTCTGTGTTCCTTCTACCTGCAGTCACAGATACAGTGAGCTACCATATCCAGTCTGGGACTGATGAATTCAAGGATAATGGTGGCCAAATTTGAAAGTGGGGAGTAGGAAATGGATCCTAATGAATCCTAATCAGATAAAAAGCTGCACTAAATTAATTTTCTGGCAGAAAATACCTTGTTCATGCATATCACAATTTTAAACTTGTTTAAATGCGAGAGATTTGATATATTTAAAAACAATACTTTTCCCCTCCCCAAAACATTAAAGTGAGGCGTCTGAAACTCTTCTCCCCATAGTTTGGAAATATGTACTGGGGTAATTTCTTGCATTTTAGAGGATTTAAAGTAAATTCAAGACAAAGATTTCATCCTGAAAAAACAGAGGTGACCTGCGATTTCTGTGGAATTCAGCCAGCAGTGGCTATAATCTATTAAAAACTCGGAGCAAAATTTCAGTTCTTAAATTTCAAGGGCTTTGCTTTGTTATCATGCATGCTTTCCCTTAGTAAAGAAGGGGAAGACTACCTTAAAAAAATTGACAGTCTTTGCTCTCTAAACAACTGACTTCTAAAGAAAATAGTGAGATGAGTTCTGAAGAGAAACTATCCACCTTACTAATACCTCAATTTGACTGCCTGAAAATATTAAAAATATTAGCAATATTTGTAATAATAACAGTTCTTGCCAGAAATTAGCAAAATAGTTTTGTCTTTTATTAAGTTTCAAATTAGATCCTTTTGCTATGCTATTTCTGGAACAATTATTGTCCTGTATATGCAAGTATTATTTCTTTTTATATTTTGCTGTCTTCTCTTTTTTTCCTCTTTAATTGTCTAAATGTATCTCATGTTTTTCTTGAGGCCTTTCTAAATGTTTAAGACTCTAAATTGTTACTGTCAGATGAGAATGATGTATCTTGAAATAACGTTCAAAACAAACTCCACAAACAGTTGCCAAAACCACCAGAACCCAAACCTTGTTGAATACTGTTCACCATATTCACAACCTTTTTTTTTTTCCAACTGTGGCAAAATTGTTTCAGTGATTTTGAGTCATGCAAATGTAAAAATAAATAAATTGAAAATCTTTATGCATATGTTATGATTGAAATTTTATGACTTTATAATTCAGTCAGGTGAAGTTAAAAGCTTCAGACAACTTGTTTTATACTCTTCATTAAGGTAGGAAAAACTATTCCATTTGAAGAAAAACAGTTCATTTACTGAAAGCTCTGAACATTTATATGTGGCGTCTCATGAAAATAGAAATGGAAGGTGCTAAGCACTTTCAGAAGGTGCTAAGAACCTCATAGGATGAGCCCTTATCTGCCTAGACTGTCCAAGCACTTTCCCTGTAAAGGTGCTTTGATACCCTGTGGACCTTACTTATCCTGTAGGGTTCTG